TCCTTTTTTCCCCTGAACGCTCTAAACTTTCAAGTAGCTTACGCCTCCAGCTGCCCACTTTTTTTTTTGGTTATTTGTGCTGTTTTTGTTTTAGTTGAAAAGGAAATCGGGGACAGGGGACAAAGAAAAGAAGGGCAAGATGCACATTTCCTCAATGGGAAAATCCCTTCCGAGAAAAAAAAACAATACGGAGGGAGAGGTTCGCCGAAGATAATATTATGAAGCAAATGTTTTCTGCTGAGTCTGGCCTGAACATTTTCATTGATTTCCGCTGCCAGTTCCTCTTTTTGCCATTCTCTGCCCAGCGAGTTGAAAGTGTAATTAAAAATAGAAGGCTAGTGCCTTTTACTCTACATAGTTAATGTGCGATGCTGTCAGTCTACATTGATATAATTTGATTATTGAGTCTCCATTTAAGCCAGTGCCAGTCGAGAACTTTAAGTCAAAGGTAAATTCACTCAATGGGGAAGAAGTTTAACATTTAACACTTAACATTGAACAATAGATTTGTGTTTAAATAGGAGAGCATCTGACAATTGGACGTTAGCGATGAAGGCTGGCTGGTAGTTCAGAGACGAGTTATATCACTACCAAATGTTAATCGGTAGTCTAATTCATGATTGCACAACGGGAAATATGAGCTTCATGGTTTACCAAGTTCAAAGGAAATCAGGAAGTTTCGTTCTGCTATCACAAAATCTTGGCTACATCTTCAACATTTCCAGATAATATTTCAGGAATTAGCTTACAAATCGAATTAAATAAGCGACTGAGCAGCGGCAGAAACTCAAACAACCAACAACACGACCTACTTGTGCGTTTTTCAACTTGACTGCACCGCAGCAAAAACAACAACAGCAGAAACAACGACAACAACATCACATTCAAGAACAATAAATTTATGGCTTTTAAAAATGTTTAACTCAAACTTCCCACCCCAACGACCAAAATGTTAGCCATGTTTGCGGTGGTTGCTTTTGCTTTTGTGTCGCAGATTTATGGCCGCCAAAAGTGGGGGAAATTCGCTAGGGCTAAGAAAAACTTTACAGTGGCAGCAGCAAATAAACTTTACGATTTTCTAGGTAGTCAAATTGAATAAATGTTAAGACAATTGCCGACTGTACGTACCCGGGGCAGGAGTAAACTCCGGTCCATCTTCATTCCGGGGATCCGTATCCAAAGGATTGCCTTTCACCTGACGTTCGGCGCCAGTTTGCGGGGCCAACAATCAAACATGAGACCCAACTCCAAACTTTCGACTGACGCAATACCACCATCCCCCCTCCCTCCTTTTCTGTGCCATCAAATGTCGGTGCGAATTTCATTAAAATAAACTTTTTCTACAAAACTCTGCGCGCTCAGCGAGTACATTTTCATTTTATTTGCCGTGGCAAACGACACCGAGAAAAAAACCAAATCACGGCCCGGCACATTTGGCCCTACCCAGCTACCCCGCTACCCTCAATCCCCCCTCCCATCCAATTGGCTTGGGTTTTATGGTCGTCGGCTCTTTTTACGGCCACCAGGACCAGTGGCATTTGCCTCATTTCACTCCTGAGCGAGATCTCTCTAATTTGAATACCTGGCTGAGGACGAGAATCTGTTCGGTAATTTCTGCCGGCGCTACGCCGCGAGTTTCGCCGATAACATTTGCATCGCTCTTTATTGCTTTTAAATGTTTGCCGGCCGCCCCGCGAAAGCCTTTCGCCATAAAAACTAGACAAGGGGCAAGAAGGAGCATTGAAATTTTGATATACGAATTGTTTTTACTGCCGGGAAACTTTTGGCCCAGATTCCGCCCACTGAAGGCCCCGCGGCAAAAACCCCCCAATTACTTATCAGCGAGTGTAGTCATCCCGTGCAGTGGAGTGGAGTGGAGTGGAGTGGAGAGGAGAGGAGTGCACCTGACCCGCCAGCGGATGATGAACTGGTGGTGGACAGGAGGACGGCGGCAAGGGGGCCAGACTACGGAGCACAGAGTGCGAGTGCCAAGAGCTAAGTGCCGCTTCCGGTGGTCGCTGGTCCACAAAAAAGCTGCAGGTCCGAGCCATAAATTTGCAGGCAAAAAGCTGAAAGACTTACGGTGCACCCCCATTACCGAACCTCCGCCTGAAATTTACTTCAAGTGCAGTGAGAGAAATGCAGTGTTTTGGGAATAATATTTCGAGTTTATTAAATGGAGAGACCAAGTACATATTTCTATTCTAAATTGCTTTTTTTTACAAACCCATATCTTCAAGAAATCTGTTGGCAATGGCATAGCACAATACATTTTGAAAGATTTTTGTATTACAAATTTTTATTTTTTTAATTAATTTTTAAATCTATTAAAATAGTACAAATGTATTAAATACAAACTCCAATTTAAAAATATCTTGATAATGCAAAGATATCAAGCAGCTTTTAAGTATTTTTATTGGCATTTTTATATTTATATATTCTTATATATAGATTTTTAATTTTGAGGAGTAATTAATAAATATTTTAATATTTTAATTCCTAGGAGTTTTTCTTTGATAGTTATTATTATTTTTGCCGCATGAAATGGCAATTTAACGACCGCGCGGACCCATAATTTTCGCTGGGTGCAGCCATGTCCCCGCCTCCTACAAACGCCTAGCCTTCGTCGCCTGGACCCCAGTTATTGTTGCAATTAATAAGGACGTCGCCAGCGGCAAAAAGCGACCGGCGTCTGCCGTGCGTTGCCACTTGGATGCTGGATGGTGGATGGTGGATGTCGGATGGTGGATGGCGGATGGGTGGTGGCCACTCATCAGCGGATGCAGGGGCTGACCCCTGGACACCCGGAGCCACTGCCACTGCCACCTCCTATGCCTCCCATCCGCCCCTGCCCCACGACCCTTCCGCACAGAGGGAATATTTACTGCCGAAGGAGAGGGATGAGCAGGATGAGCAACTGCAGCAGCCGAGTAAAATGTCCTTTGCACATTACATTTGCATTGCAGTTACAAGCATTTCGCATTTATCGCAGCAGCGGCGGCGGCAGCAACAACAAGACGAACACGGAACGCAGGCGGAATGGAGGAGGAATGGAGGATCCTCCGGATCCGTGGGAGGAGGGGGTGGAGGCGGAGCCTAACAATGGACGGGCAGAAATCTCGTCGCCAGCGTCGCTAACAACTCGTAGCATTGCAGCTGCCAGATGTGGTAAGAATAGAGATGTGACGCGGAGTGGGAGGTGGGTGGTGGGTGGTGGGAGGTGGGAGGTGGGCAGGTCGAGAGCAACATTTATTGTTTGCAAAGCCTTGTTTATTATTTTACGTGCATTTCTCTTGCCAGCTTCAGATCCAGCTTCAGCCTGCACAAGGACTCTTTATGATTCACTCGGTCGCTCCTTTTGGTCGAGGACATTTTGTAAATAGCAATGCAGTGGCCTAGCCTGACTTGGCCTGCGATTCGCCCCACTCTCCGCAGCGCGGCTGCGATTTTATTCACTCGCCGCTGTTTATGTGACCCGGATCATCCAGGCTCCCGGGCTGGTGCACCTCGTCTTGGTCTTGGTTTTGCTCCTCGGTTCTCGGGTCCTGGTTCCTGGTTCTTGGTCCTTGGCCCTCGATGTGGTTTCTTTATGTTTTTAATGCCGTGCGCCAAAAGTCCTTTTGTTTGTACACTTGTACTTTATGTACCGAGCGAAATTTATGCGCCGCTAAGTGGATTCGTGGATTCTTGGATTCGCGGATCCGTGGACTTCACCCCGCACCCCGCTCTCCGCACTCCGGCATCTTGGCTCTCCTGTTTCCGGTTCCTGCATTGTTGCCTGCCAAACAGGAAATGCAATCCTCGCCATCCATAAAACTTGTCCAAAATCTGGCGAGCTCCTCTCGCCTCGCCCAAACTCTCAGATTCAAGTTGGGAGGGCATTACAATTATCCTGCGCGTGTCCGAGTCCTCGACTGCCTCCTTATCCGTCCATTTATTGCGCCATCGAAGAAGAAAAAGAATTTGCGTTTGGACGAAATTAAAGTCGGCCTTTCGGCCCACCTCAATGAACACGAAGTCGAAGCAAGTGCAAATCCTCCATTAACACAAGAACAAAACGAAACAACTCGAAGCAAAGCGGGGGAGTCGTGGGAAAAGGACGAAAAGGTGATTCCTGCTGCTAATTGGAAATCGAGGGGAGCGGACCACCGGATGAGACAGACACTGAGCTGCCCAGGAAGACCCCAGAAAACGTCACAAATGTTTGTTCTTTTGCAGGAAATTAAGGCGAAATGTAACAATCGAATTAGGCCGAGTTGGGGGCAAAGGGCCAAGACCCGATTTGAACCGATGGCGACCGCTGCGAAACCGATTCGCCACGTTTCGTTGGCGCTGGCATTTAAGAGGCCCGAAACAACCGTTTGACCTTCAGTGTCGGGGCCCAAACTTCAAATTGATTTTTCATATTCATTGGCATACGGCTCAAAGCGATGGAGTGGGATTGGGACCAGGAAGAGGACCAGCAATTCTCATAAATTAAACATGCTCCACATAAACTAAAGTGAAAAATGCGAGGGCAGCCCAAAAAACGGGGGGATGCCCAGCATTTAACTGTATATTTGAAATATTTTAAATATAAATTTCAATATTTAACTGCGCCCGCCGACAGGAAACGGTTGCCGGACAGCACGGCAACAACTACGGGCCGGAATATGGAAGCGGAAAAGGGAGCTGGGTGCAGGGACACGAGCCAGGAGAGCGGAAATGATCCATCGACCCTCGGCTGTCGTCCCAAAACGGCTCTGGCCCAAAAAAAGGTTTCCTCTGCCGCAGTTCGCTGCAGACCACAAAAACGTTGAAAATATTTGTGTTTCCACTTATTTGCATTAATGCCACGAACCGATTTACTGTCTGTCCATCTGTGGGGGGGGGAGGTTGGTTTTGTGGGTTCTGCCCCCAAAAAACACACACAGAACACGACCATTGAACGGCGAACACGGGGTCAGGCCAATAAATAAGTGTGACTTTCGTTGGCATCCCGTCTCCTTTCATTTCAACTTCTATCTACTATTTCTATCGTGCTGTTTTAGATTTTATAGGAAAAAATTAAAACCAGATCCATTTCGAAAATCAAAACATTGAGGCCCCTTCGAACCAAACCAAATTCAGTGTTAACAAACGCGAAATGGCTCATTCGAGATCGTTGAAAGGAAGTCACTGGCCCGGCATCCTGGACTCCAGCCACGCTCTGAGGAAGTACTTCGGTCACCAGTCCGCCAAGTCCTCGCCGAGGGCCGAGATCCAGGCCAGACTGCCGACCTTTGCCCCTCCGAACTTCGTGGGAGCCGAGCCCAGGCTTCGACCCCAGGTGAACGCCGCCTGGCAGCTGGCCAGCGATCCCTCCGATCTCTCGGATGTCCGTGGCCCCAAGCGGGTGAAGGGGCTGAGGGATCGGGAGCGGAAGAAGCTGGAACGCAAGATTTGGGCCAGGCCGGCGAAAGTCGATGCAACACAGAAAGTCGCAGGACCAGCAAAACCGGAGAAGCCTGAAAGGCTGGAGCAGGCCGCACTGCCGCCGAAGTCCGTGATCCGAAGGAAGGTGAAGGCGCCGACTTCGCTCCGCCGGAAACGGCCTGCCCAATCGCTCCCCCACTTTCGCTCGCCGTTGCGGAAGAACATCCTGGTCGTGGACGCCAAGAGGACGCCTGGGATGGACCGGCAGGGCCACCTGGCTGGCGGAGCCGATCAGCCTCCGACGGGCTCTGCATCTGGACGGAAGAGGGAGGGACAGCATCCGAAGCTCAAGATGAGCGGCCGCTCGAAGAAGACGTACGGAGTGCCCCTGTGCAGTCGGCCCACCGAGATCATGGGCATGGGCCTTCCCTACTCCCGCCAGATGCAGATGCGCCAGGAGAAGCTCTACCAGCAGCCGGAGTACCACGACCAGTACATGAGGATGCTCCACCAGCAGCAGCGCCAAGCGGAGCTGAGCCATCAGCAGCAGCATCAGGAGCAGCAGCAGCACAGCGCCAAGATGGCCCAGCATCCCTACTCCATCCTGCCGGGCGTCCTGTCCGAGGAGCAGCAACAGTCCTACGTGTACTCCGTGCCGTCCAAGTCGCCCCTCAAGCAGCTGAGGGACGGGAAGCGCATGTGCGGCAACTTTTACTATGACTAGAACGGTGGCATGATCAATAAAAGGGTGCCAGAGGCCAAACTGCAGTGCTGACTTCTATGGGGGATCAAACGAGTTTAGTTTGAAGAAGGAACGTCGATTTATTTTAAGTTAGAGCCAAGTCAGAACAGTAATTGCCAACACTTTAAATTAAATCTGAAGTCAGATAACTTTTATTTGTATTTGCTGGTATGCAACTTAGCCTCTTAGACTTCAAAGTGATTATTCTCTAGTATCCTCTATCCTATCAATTAAAATATATTTGTAAATTTTTGGCGCACTCAAAAGTAAGGAGATACACAATTAATTGATCGAAAAGTGGAGTAAACTATTGTAAAATAAGTTTGAGATAGCAGTTGCAGAAATAAAACCACTCGTTATACTTGTATTTAGTATCCATTTGTTAGATGGAACACAACTTAGTTCAAATTTAATAAGCGTTTGAACAGTAAACGCAGTATAAATGTAAACATACAATTTCAATACTTAGTTTATTTAGTACTTTATAGCTTTATCTATAAGCTGACGAGCTTAAATTATTAGATGTAATTTAATACCGAAACCTTAATTTGTTAATTATTGAGTTAATAGGCATCGTATTAAGAAGTTATTCATGCATTAATCGTTTCCTTTTAATAGTAACATTTTCCGGATTAGGATTAATTGGAGGTGTTCATTTAAAATTAAAGAGCTTTGATAAGTCTCACAAGCTCTTCTTGATTTATATTCAGTTTTGCTTTTGTATTAATCTCCAGTGCGTTTATTATTTTATCTTACTTTATATTAAGAAGTTTTAATCTGACTATCAGGTTGCATCGTTTGAGGCGAAATATTATACTTGGATTTGTAGCCTGCACGCACTTTCCGGACCACTTTCACCTGTTTAGCTTTCCCACCATGCCGATTTCCATGACCGCTTGCCCTTCAGTGACCTGAGAACTTTCCGGTATTTAATACACTCGCAAGTACTTGGGGTGGGGGGATGGAGGGTGTGTGGGAGTGGGGGGCTGGTGGCTGGTGGCCTCTGCACGCAGATACAATTAAAATCGAAACGAGCCAACAATGCAAACTGGCGAACAAACAGGCAAACACAAACCAAACAGCGAAGCACAGCAATGGAAACGAGCAAATAATGAAGTGGATAAAGTTTGCTGAAACACTGAGTTTTCGAACCGAGTCCCAAATACGGAATTGAACCAGACCGAACAGGAGCTGTAGCGGGAATGGGAATGGGAATGGCGATGGCGATGGCGATGCGGAGGGAAACCTATTTTGTGTATAATTCAAGGTATCAAGGCATCGAAGGAGGGTCGAAGAGGGTCGGAGAGGGGTGAAAGCGTGGCAAAACAACATGGGAAAACTTTTGTAATTACAATAAAATTTTCACAAATAACTTGCAATTGTTTGTGTTGGGCGAAGTTGGGTGAAAATGCGGAGTGGGTCCTTGGATCGCAACGAATGTGTTAATTTTGTTGTGTATACCAGTTAGACGCCCGCCCACAACCTACGAGATGCAAAAGTGCCAAAAGAAAATGAAAAGAAAACACCGCAAAAATGTCTCCTTGAGTTTTATTCTCCGCCCGCCCCGAAATAAATTAAAATATAATTAAAAAGAGAGCAAACAAAAAGTGAACTGTGAAACGTGAAACGTGGACCGGAATCGAAATCCATCCGCCTGGGAACTCCTCAGAACCGGAGATTGCGTGCCTGGCCAATCCCGAATTGTATATGGAACATTGTTTGCAAATTAATCTTCGAAAATGTCTGAGCTATGTGGGTGGGATCGGGACTCGGAGTTGCCTAAGTATTTGGCTCAGTTTCCTTGTTCTATCTTATTTATGAGCCAAAAGTGGATAGCTCATTTTTCAAACAAATATTTATGCTTCACTTGTACGGAATGCATGCGAAAATATTTGCTTTTCATTTTTATAAAAGTGCCGACTGCCTGAGCGAGATATTTAGATGGTACGTGTACGGGCGAGAATTAAAGAATAAATACGGAATGCATTCTGCAGTTAATCCAGTTACTGACAGGGAAATTGAGGTGTGGAAATGCAAAGCTTACGAGTAAGCACACCGGTACGGCAAAGAGAATCAACAGCAGTGGGCAAATATTGGCAGCAACAATGAGGAAAATCTAGTTAAACCAACCGGCCTCTCAAGGAAAACCCGGCCCCAACCGATGGCAAACAACGTAGGCCGAGGGCTCTCAAAGAAAATGGAGGAACCCATCGAGGTGGGGCAGGCAAATGAAACTGAAGATTACGAATGTCTGCTGTTCGGGGCCCCATCTCCAAAAATAAGAATAACGCAATACACAAGCAGGAAAAACAAGTGAAGTACAGAGATGAAGTGCACTCAGAGAAATAACCTATCCATATCACTTCTATGCATCAGTTACAATGTTTACCGTCGAGTAATGTTTATCAACCATAAGTTTTAGCATCCCATTACAACTTATTGTAGAACTGAAACAAACTTTGCGTTGGGTACTTTTTTTTAATAGCTCGGTTTTATTTAAGCCCTTCTGAACTCATTTTGAATATTATTTTGATTTAGTTAGCTTTGCAAATTTATATTAATAATTTGCAGTCTTTAAATGCCCATATACCCTTACCGAATTATAGGCAAATATCACTACGTTTTTCTCGGTGTGGAAAAAGGAAATGCTTTCGGGACAGGGGAAAGTGAGGTGTATATGCAGCCCTCGATTCACGATTGATGTGGCGGATCCTGGCAGCAAGCGGGAAAGCGGGGAGCCGAGGGTATTCGAGCCTTGATGGATGGATGGAGGCTTAGCTTAGGAGCGATGTAGCTTAAGCTCGACGCTCCCAATTTGAGCTTCGTGGGAGGGGGGGGGGGGGAGGGGCAGGAGCTGGGCGGATTCAATGCCTTGGGTACATAACTCTCGTTGTCGTTTATTGATTTGTTTTGCCCCCAGCCAGCGGCGCAAAGCGGGTGATACATAGCCCAAAAGAAAAGCCGCCGAAGGTGGCGACTAGTAAGGACTCCCCTCATGCGTTGCATCTGGCTGGGGCGGAAGGACAGCCAGATTCGAGGACACAGGATGACGTGCAGAATGATGAGGAAAACGAATTCATCGCTAACTTTGGCTCTTGTTTCTGTCTTCCTATGTCTGTTGTTCCTATTTTTTCTTAGTTCAAGGACATCCACTGCTAAACACTTTCTATGCTTTCGGTTTTTATTTGGTTTAAGCAGACCAAATTCCACTTTAAAATTCATTAGTTTAATAGTTTATCAAATAAATTCATTTATAATGTACATATATTTATTTTTTCATTATGTCTGTTGTGATACCAATCATTTGACAATTTATTCACAGTACCTCAATTGTTTTTTCGATTGTTCCTATGGTAGCTAGGATTTAGGAAAATATCAGTTCTGAAATCGGACGGACAGACCCACATGGCTTTATCAGCTCATCTTAAGACTCTAATCAAGAATGTATATACTTCCTAGATTCGGAAATGTATGCCAATGTGTTAAAATTATTAAAAACACACTTTTGTATGACCAGTGGTGGGTTAGTCCAGAGGAAATAATCTTGAATCTATTAACATTGAAAGTCTTATTATCAGGACTGTTTTTGTTTAAAAATCTTTTGCGACTGCTCACGAATAAAGCGCGCACTTAAGAAATTGGAGAGGCAGGATAATTGGGTAGGATTATTGAATTGCCCTCTTGCATTCGCAAATTCTCACGAATATTCCGACGGAATAGATTTAATTTGGGTTTTATTGTGGACCCTCGTTTTCCCCCCCATTCATGCATAATGAGCTGCTCCCCCACTTTAAGCCTAGACAAGACACATAATTCCGTAATTTTGAACAAGAAATTCTTTGAAATTCGCATCTTCTGTTGCCAAATAGCATTTAACCGGGAAAATTGCAGGGGAAGCGATCCCAGGGGACTCTGCGCGTTGCGTGTAACAAGTGTTCGGAGGCCCGCAATCCACTCATATGGTTATGGCCAAATGCGAGTACATAAGGTGATTCCCGTGCAAATGATATGAAAATTGCCGTCGTAAAGGCAGGGGGCGTGGCAGGGGCTGCTGCACGCGAAGGAAACGCAGATTAAAACTCCGAGTAGGTATGACTAAACACATTTGCCAGACATATTTAGCAATTAGGGAATATCCCCCAAAGCCAAACACAAAACAACTCAAATGGCAAGCAAAACAAAAACAAACCGACGTGAAAACACTCGAACTTCGAACTTTTAAAAGGAGTGGGAGAGGTTGCATCAGACTTCTACGAAATACTCGCTTATACGGCCTGTGTATAACAGTTTCGCAGTGCTGTTTTCTTATACAAATTGACGGTGTAGTAGCCTTATACCAATTCTTGCTAAAGGCCTAATAGGACTTATACTTCTACTCTAGCTATTATGCTAGTCTGCACTTATACAGTTCTCTTTGTGCTTTGGTCACTTATACTTTCTTATACACCAGAAAAACGTATGAAAGCGAGTAAAAGATACTTATACTTTTTGCTTATATTTATACCAAAGCATTGAAGTTGGTTGACTTATACGACCCGCTTATAAGCTGTCGCATACAACAGTAATTCATTGAAATTAAAATAAATTAATTTTAATACTAATGTTTTATGTTTTCCAAAAAATAATTTTATATTAAATAATTAATGTTATTAAAAAGTTATTTTATTATTTTTGTTTCTACTCGGAGTCGTATAAAAATCTGCACTTATACAAACACCGCATACTCATAATTTCTTATATTTCGTGGAGCAACACTCGCATACAATTATAAGGCTTATGCCAAACAGCTTGAGAAAACCAGTTGAAGAAATAAAATTATACTAAATAAAATATAAAATAAAAAAAAAACATTATTCAAAATCAGCTACAGGGATTAAAGTTAGTTTTCAAAATATATGTCAAATTTTTAAACAATATGCAATTTGCCTATTTTCTTATACTTATACGCTTATACCGCTCAATGGAAGCTCACTTATACAAGTGAAAACACAAGTAAAAGACATATACCGCCCAGCGGAATCGTATATTCTATCTTATACCTATACGACTTGCACCCCCAGAACACGCGAAGTGTCCCAGTATAAGTGTATGAGCATAACCGGCTTGGCTTCGCACTGGCACAGCAACAACACACTCGACAACAAACAACAACGTGCTCGAGCGGAGTGTTTACAGGCCGCTCCGGGGCTCTCTTATACTCATACCCACATCTATCTCTGGATAGACATCGCTCTCTGTGTACGACTCTCAGTCGCCTCCTGCTGCACGCTGCCGATGTGGAGATGTACTTCACAGATACTCGTTCTTTGGCGGTCGTCGCTTCGCGAGCTTCGAGGTTTTAGTTCGGTTTTAGCTCTGATTCCGTGAGGACGCTCGCAGGCGCACCGCTCCGCGTTCCGTTCCGTTATTCGACCGCCTCGCACGGAGCCTACCGCTCACCCACACTCCTGCAAACGCACACTCGCGCACTTGCACACTCGCACACACACAGGACTCGTGCCGCGATAACAACGCCAAATTATCGAGTCTGCGCTGCGCCAACATCCAGCGGATGGCAAGTGCGAATCTTAAAGTGGCCAAGTGGCAGTCGTAGACCAGGCCAAGAACCCCAGCCCCCCTTGCCCCTGTTCCGGCGGTCGAGTGAATAGCCGCCACAATGCGGCGCTAACCCAACGCCGGTGGAAATCGCGACCTCGCGGGTGTACCCAAAACCAGACAAAAGTGCTCCAAGTGGTGACCCAAAGCAAATGTGTCGCAGCAACAGCCGGAGTGGCAGCAACGGTAACTGCTGCTCTTTATAGTGCATCTTCGCGTTTTTCTTTGGCTCCCAGAACAGTCCGCTAATAGCCAACAAAGCGAGCATAACGGCCAGAAAAATGGCTCTGCAGCAGCGACATCAGCAGCACCAGCAACACATCAAGTGGCAGCAACATGCAACGAAACGACGACGCTGCCGTCAACATTGGATTAAACATCTTCAGTTTCTGGGCCTGGGTGAGTTGACATCTTGACCAGGACGGAAAAGGGGCATTGGTAATGCAACAGCTGTTGCTCATTAGCAGGCATTGCATGTGGCAGGTTGCAGGTTGCATCCTTTTAATGGACCTTGCGGTTCGGTCAAGAAGGAAACCAAAGGGATCCACTCTGCGCCCATCCATTAGGGCAGGGAGTAGCCATCTGAGGGCGTGGCAAAGCCCCTGTGGTTGTCCATGACTTGTTTGAGGAGGGGGGAGGCTCAGAATGGTAGACTAATTAATAATTACACATTATGCAAGCCAAGAAGCACCGGACACACGTACCACAACAGCGCTCCACTTCCGCTGCAATCAAACGCATTATCGAAGAACAGGTTGAGGAGTTTGGAATAAATGGGTGTGGAGTTGGAGCTGGAAACTGGGAGCTGACAACCGGTACTTGTGTGTCATGCACTTGCGGTCTTATCTGGCTTCCGCCCCTCAATCCCAGAGCAGCTTTGGCTCCCCGCCCCCTTGAAAGAAACAACAAAAATACAGAAAAAATACAACCAAACAATCGAATATAATTTACAAAATATTGTGTCGACGCCCACAGTTTGGTTTGGGTTTTTGGTTCGCTTGGGGAGCAGGTTTGTTGTTTTTTCTCATGCCAGGGCTTTGCATGACATTTGTGGGCGTGTGTGGGGATTGGAGTCGGAATGGAAGCGGATTTACAGAGCACGCCCATCATTAAAAGCCTAATAAACTAGGGATGGCGAATGGAAGACCCAGACCAATTAGTAGCGAAGCACCTGGCCAAGAAGCGAACCACTTCGCCTGGGAAACGAGGAAAAGAACAAAAATCAAACACGATTTCAGAATCGGAATCGGAATCAGAATCAAAATCAGAGCCGAGTCGGAAGTCTATCTAGATGTAGGCTTGTGTATACCTACATATAAAAGGAAAAGCATGTATTTGTCAGCACAAAATAATCAAGGATCATAATATGTCAACAAACAGACAGGCCAGGCTGAGGCGACCGAAAAAACAAGCACAAGGACACACGAACGCAGGAAAGTTGCGTCTGTCTGTCAACCGTACATGTGTGAGTAGCAGCTCCGGGTGTGTGGGTGGGGGTCTGTCCGTGTGTGGGTACAGAAATGTGTGCCACCAGAGCAGCCACCGAAGCGGCAGCGGCAGCAGGAGCTGGAAAGTGTAGCACAAACACGCCGTAATAGATATACAGCGAGCATGTGTTGGTGCAGCTAGAAAAGCGGGAAAACCGAGGAGCAGGGGTACGGGTCCTGGGAGTGCTGAAAAGTCGACGCGACTTGCCGTTTTTGTCTCTGACAGTTGGCAAATGTAGTGGAGTGCATTGACAATACCACGAACCAAGTACAGCTTGACCAGAGCGCCATCAATGGAGGGCCGAGGAGAAGGGGCAGGAGGAGCAGGCGGTGGCCGCCACTTGAGGGGCTGCGCTTCCTCCTGCTCAAAGAGCAGAGTGTTGAGCACACAGGGTGCGGGTTCGAGCATATAGATTATCTTGGTCCTGGCTTCTGCTATCTCCAGGAAGCATCGCCACTGCAACTGACTTGTGTGCGGCTGTCATTTTCGAGTTGGTTCAAAGTTAATTGCGCTGCCCTCTCCAAAAAAAAGCGAATCTCTGCCCAGATTGCGCACGAAAGTGTGGGCAGCTGAGCAAAAAAAACTGGAAAACGCCCATGTTTGGCCCAGACTCGGCTACTTGGCTTAACGAGCCACGGGCCACCACATCCACATCCATATCCACAGTCTATAGTCTATAGTCCACAGTCCACCGGAGCCGGACAGTTGATATTTTTCGCCCCAGCAGCACCTTGAGTCCGCTAACCAGTTCAATATTGACTCAGGTCGCCCACACGCCCCCGAAAACCACCGACCGAAGCCAGGGTCCAAGCTCAAAATGCGGCAGCGTGGGCTAAACGAACTTACGTAATTGTAAATCAAATGTGGTCCCCCCTCCCCGTGCCCAGATAATCCCACCATCGAAATTGGTCTGCTATCTTCAACGAAATTGAAAGCGTTAAGAGACAAAAAATCAGAGCAGTGAGGAAAACATATTTCTTTTTAATTTTTGCAATGTACTGGTTTGGATCTTTTACTCTTTTTTCATTAAAATGTGCATTTTTATATTTAAATTAAACATTATTTTTATTTATAGCCTGTTTTGATGTTTGTGATTTAGGTTTTAATATTAATGTTATCGCTTTCGCAAATGAAGTGAAATTATTAGGCTAATTTTAGGGTTATTTATGACTAATGGGTAAAGTGGTTTGGATGCCTTTTTAGCCCTGATAACATGATAAATGCTATGAAATCAAACAAATGTTGATCAAAATTTAAATCTTACATTATTATTTTATAATATTTAAAGCTTACCCCTTGTTTTGTGAGAAGATTTAGAATTTAAAATTGGGCTTATCCCAATTTTAATCCTACTCTTAGCAGGATTTTTGAAATGCTATATATTTTTTTAATTGAAAAGCCTTTTCTGTTTTGCTTCAGCTCAGTGCCTGTTTGTCGCTCAGTCAGCTAAATTTATCTCAGACCGAAATAGACATTGCATTGGCCACATTCAGACTGCATGTTGACAGAAAGATGAAACTAAATTAAAACACACACATATGTGAGCGAGTGCATAAATAAATCGACAGCATGTGGCAAGGTGGAAGGTTGGAGTGCGGGAGTTGGACATGTCAAACGAAAACAAACGCAGAACGCCTGCCTCTTGAAGTCGCCACGAAGAGCGAACTCCCGCTGCGCCGCTCGATCGTGGCATGTGGTAATTGCCCCGGGCCTCGGATATACATATGTGAGTCCATGTCTATAATAGTCCTACCTAGCCGGGATTTATGGCCTTCCGCACATGTAGACATGGAGATTTGAAGATGCGACCCCTTGCCATGGCTCACCTGATGGACTTTCGTCTAAGCGCAAATGGGATTTGTAACTTTAAAGAACAGGGTCGAGAGAGCCAGCGCGATTTTCTGGCTTTGGCAGATTGAGACTGAATTTCAATTAGTAGGATGCCCCATGTATGTGCGCACAAAGGGGCTGGGGAACGGGGAAAGGGGAAAGAGAATGGAGGGAGGGGGCTGCGGCAGGATATTAGCAATGTGCAGCCTGCCGTGCTTCCTACGCAGAATATTCCCACCGAAGGATGCGGCGGATGGATGGCATAGATGATTGCTCCACTCCCCTCCGCTCCGATCCGCCCGATGACTGACTTTGATGGGTTTGCTCGATATTGATGCGAATTGATTTGGTTAGTCAGCTGTCGGACAGCCGGATGCCCACCATGCCCTCCTCCGCCCCGCAAACAGACAGTTGAATGAATAAATAAAAACGGCAAATCAAGCAAGATGCCAAATGAGGCTCGTCATAGACAGGAAAATGAGGTTGCAGGCGAGGCAGGGTCCTCGAGATGGAATACATTTAATGGTCCTCAGCTCGCTCGGCTCTCGGCTCTCAGCTTTCAGTTCTCAGTTCGGCTCAGTGGAGTAATTGAAAAACGATTTCAAGGTGAGGTCGGCAACTAGGCGATGGCTTCATCATCCAGCCACTGGCTGCTAATTTAAATTTATGAATTTTTGGAAAACATCTCAATGCGGGCTTTTCAGGCGGCGAAGGAGGCTTCCTTCCACGCACTTTCACTTTTCTTGAGTATTTAATCAAGTGTGAATAATTGCATCATTCTGCTCAAAGGGAGTCGATATCCTTTGTGTTTGTGCGCTGGCAGATACGAGCCCCCAGTCTGTGTGTGTGTGTGTGTGTGTGGAAGGACCTGTTATCAATATGTGGGCCAAGAAACCACACGCTCACCCAGTCACCCACACACCCACAGCACCACTTTCCTCGAGACAGCAGTGAAATTAAATTCAAAGAGAGCCGACAGAGTTTTCACTTTATTGTGGTGGCAACTTGCATGTTTTTAGCCTGCTGTCGAAAATGCGATATTGAAAAATGAATATTTTATCAGCTCGGACAAATATTTATGGATATACTTCTGTGGCCTTCCATCTTTCGCTTAATTGAAGTGGCAGCTGCTGCGCAACTGGAAGTGCAACAACCGCGGTCTCGAGCCTCAGCATCTGCCTAATTTCGCTCATTTTCGAGACGCGTGTCCAACCGGTTGGCCATTAGCTCGTGGCAGCTTTAAGTCCAGATCCAGCAGCTTGGATCGACAGCTGCAAGTGGCACTAGTCGCAGAACTTCTGGCTTTGGGACATCACTGACATTCAGAGCTCTAAATGCACAGCAAAAATGTTCTGCGTGGATATAATCACTTTAGATAAAAGTCTCCGGCAAAATGAGAGCACTGAGCTTTCAACCTTTGAATCGAATTAAGCAGTTTGTTTTTTAATCGATCAGAATTACACCCCAAATTTATCCATCTTTCTTTTAAAATATAATTGTTTGTTATTTTACGATTACAAAATTTTCACTCATAATCTTCTTATTTAATATTTAAAAGCTTAAAAGTATATTGAAAGTATATTGAAACAAATCACGCATAATTTTCTTTATAAGAGCCTTAAGAGCTTTGCAGGAAGAACTTTAACAAAAACCTTCGTTCTTTAATTCAGAATATGATGAAGAGAACTCACCTTAAAAATTAAATCATATCTCACGAGTAAAATGAATAAAGCCATATAGGCTTGATCCGATTTCCCCCGAGTAGCTCCCCGCCTTTCTCTGCAGCGTGTGAACCGCTGGCGGTCGGCCCATGTCCACTGCACGCTTCAGTACTCCGCCCGTGGAGAGTCACCTTTGGCTTGGACGCCAGGTGGGGATGGGCGTCCAGTTGGCCGGTTGACGTGTGGTTCCGCTCCGGCGATTTTCCTTCCTCCCTCCTTGGCTGGCCGGGAAATCTGTGACGCGGCATTTGGCCGCTGCTGGGAAAACTTGAACTTTAACGACTTCACTTGCTTTAATTGCGACGGGGAAAAATTCGTTTTCCTTTGCAACGATTTCGCTGGGAACCGAAGGGTTTTCTG